GCAATACGTTCACATTCCCTATGTTTTATCCCTTTTGCTGCAAGAACAAAAAACACATGTTGATCTGCAAGAGATTCAGTATGCTTCCATCTTTCTGTTTGGGCTGACACACGGTGCCTTTGGTACACTAAACCTTAACCAGCATTTTAAGTGCTGGCTGCTTGATTTACAGAACCCAAATACCCTCCAACTTCACTGTCCCACTTCACAGACATACATTGAATTTTGTCCCAGAAAATCAATGCTGCTGTCTTGACTTTTTATAGCCAGCCTACACATTGTAGGTGTGTGTATGGAAAGGGCTCTTGGGAGATTTAGATCTGAGGGCCTGCCTACTTCAACAAGAACTGAGTTCCCAGCTGACTTAAAGTGACATTAAACTCTCAGATTTTTTAACATAAAACAATACTGTAATGTGTGCCTTACTGTAATCCATGGTTGTTTCCCTTCTCTTTGCTGCTCTTCCTTTTAAATCTGTATCTCTTCTCATGCTGGGCAGAACTTCTGTTTTGCAGCAGACTGCCTTGTCTCTGGAATGGATACATGGTGTCTGTGTGTTGGTTTGAAACCTGAGCAGGCACTACAGGAAGAGGCCCTGAGCTGCAAAGGGAAGTTCTCCCCAAGCATGAGAAGAGATACGGATTTAAAAGGAAGAGCAGCAAAGAGAAGGGAAACAACCATGGATTACAGTAAGGCACACATTACACTATTGTTTTATGTTTAAAAATCTGAGGGTTTAATGTCACTTTAAGTTAAGGTCCACTTTTAAAATAACTCTCTGATTAATTACTGAATATTTAATCTTATTATCTAACCTGCAAGAACAGGAGTAATTGCTAAGGTCTAACAAGAGAGTCTAACCAGACAGGCTATGGTGAGGAAGGTTAGAAGAACCAAAAAGCCTTTATTAACCTGAAACTACAGATACTCTACACTGCATTGATGATGGGCAGCAGGAAAGGTTTAGTGGAGGAAGGCTAAAATAACCAAAAAGCCTTTATTAACCCAAAGCTACAGATACCCTACACTGCATTAAAGATGGGCGGCAAGTCTGAAAGGTTTATTGCCGTATAACTATTTGGTTATGTTTTAATAGAGGCCTATACAATACACAAAAAGTGGGATTTAGTAGCACAAGAGAGACAGTGCCTCCAAACGAGGAACAGTAGGGAGCTATAAAAAAAATCAGAAATAAAAATATGAAATAGGTTCCAACCTTCCCCCACTGTATACAAAACCAAAAAAGTTTGTGTTCAAAGCACTTCGGTTTTACTGAACCGAAGGGGTCCTGGGGCCGAAGCTAGCCAAAGGATCGGCCGAAGCCACGGCTAGATCCTTTGGCTGCTTCATGAATAGACCCCTAAATGTCTTTTGTTTCCTAAAAATGTTAGTACTAAAAGGTGACCTTCAATGACATCCCATGTTGGGAACAGTATTGAGTAAATTCAATGTAAAATCAAGCAAATTGACAATATTTTATTTGCCTGAATATACACATGCAAATGTGCCCAACCTGCAGAGCATCAAATAACTCATCAGTCACAATTGCATTGAATCCTAACCTGCATGATTCTCAGCAGATGCTCCACAAAATCTCACCTTACTTTCTGTTTCTCTGTTCCATGGTGAACAGTTTTGCGTTTAGTGACACAAAGCTTCTTGAAGTTTTCCTCCTTTTTACAAATCAATTACATGACTGCAATTACCATGATTTGTATAGTACATCTGTACTACAAACCACAGCAGGACAGTTTTCTTCACTGACAGTTCAAGATTTATATATTTGATTTTGCATTTGGAAGTAACACAAAGTATTCATTCCAATTAAACTATGCAAGCACAGATTTCTAGTGCTGACCTTTTTCAAATCAAGTCAAAATAACTGGAGAAAAAAGAGCATGTGCAGCTGCTAACTGACGGGGCTACCATTCATCATTTTATTTTTTTTGAAACAATGTAAAAACAGCTGTTAACTGGGATCATCATGCTATCTCAAACTTACTGTAAAGTGTATGTCTAGGCAAAACAAAGAAAAGAGCATATTCAGTACATCCTGGCAATACGTTCACATTCCCTATGTTTTATCCCTTTTGCTGCAAGAACAAAAAACACATGTTGATCTGCAAGAGATTCAGTATGCTTCCATCTTTCTGTTTGGGCTGACACACGGTGCCTTTGGTACACTAAACCTTAACCAGCATTTTAAGTGCTGGCTGCTTGATTTACAGAACCCAAATACCCTCCAACTTCACTGTCCCACTTCACAGACATACATTGAATTTTGTCCCAGAAAATCAATGCTGCTGTCTTGACTTTTTATAGCCAGCCTCCACATTGTAGGTGTGTGTATGGAAAGGGCTCTTGGGAGATTTAGATCTGAGGGCCTGCCTACTTCAACAAGAACTGAGTTCCCAGCTGACTTAAAGTGACATTAAACTCTCAGATTTTTTAACATAAAACAATACTGTAATGTGTGCCTTACTGTAATCCATGGTTGTTTCCCTTCTCTTTGCTGCTCTTCCTTTTAAATCTGTATCTCTTCTCATGCTGGGCAGAACTTCTGTTTTGCAGCAGACTGCCTTGTCTCTGGAATGGATACATGGTGTCTGTGTGTTGGTTTGAAACCTGAGCAGGCACTACAGGAAGAGGCCCTGAGCTGCAAAGGGAAGTTCTCCCCAAGCATGAGAAGAGATACGGATTTAAAAGGAAGAGCAGCAAAGAGAAGGGAAACAACCATGGATTACAGTAAGGCACACATTACACTATTGTTTTATGTTTAAAAATCTGAGGGTTTAATGTCACTTTAAGTTAAATTATTTAGCCTGGCAATTATGTTACAAGAAGTAATACAAGCTGTTTCTTGCTACAGGGACAAAAGAAAAATAGATTGCTCGGATATGCAGTTGGGAGGGAAAGGAAGGTTTGGTGTTAAATATGTTAACATCTATTTAGAATAGCACCACAACACACAATTAAAGTGGAGAGCAAAGCACGCCCATGCTGCTGCTCCCCACAACACACATTCCATGCTTTGCGGTGAGCTACTTTTAAAAAGGTCCAGGTGCTGTTTTTCTCTGTGACTTGGCAGTCCATTCTAAATTAATGGGGTCCATTACTGAAAATGTATGTAAGTAAGCTAGATACCATACGTTAAAGTGCATGTGGTAAGGCACTGCAACAGGCTTCAAAAGTCTGAAGGGGCCCTAATTTGTTTAATTATTATTATTAACCAGTTGACATCCACGGTGTTAAACCCCCTTCCCATCCAGGCCATTTTTCAGTATTCAGCGCTGCGGTACTTTGACTGACATTTATTCTGTCATACAGCGCTGTACTGAAATGAATTTTATACCCTTTTTTGGGGACAGATAGAGCTTTCTTTTGGTGGTATTTATTCACCACTGGGGTTTTTATTTTTTTACTATATTAAGGAAAAATTACCGAAATTTAAAAAAAAAAACAGTTTCCCCTATATTAAATGATAAAACATTTATTATTACCCAATTTTTTGGTAAAATATAAAAGATGGGGTCACGTCGGGTAAAAAGACACTAAACATGTCAAGCCTTAAAATTGCGTGCGCGCGCGAAACCTCAAAAAACGATAATACCCAAAATTGGCCATAGGCGACGCTTTAAAAGCTGTTACCGCTCATCAGTTTAGTGTTATCAGTGATTGATGGCCCTAAAATGATTGCTCTCACTGCGACGTTCGCGGCGATATGTAACATGTGTAGCGCAATTGTAATTTTTGCGCGCTGGGGCACCGGACGCGTATTTACGTTTATAGGCGCGTAAACGTGGGGGTGGGGGAGTTAAACATTTTGGGGGGGTTTTTTCCCCTTTTTTTATATGTGACTTTTATTTTATTTTACTTTTTTATATGTTACTTTTATTTTTTTTTATTTATATTTATTTTTTTGCACTTATTGTTATTGCTATTATATAGGGGGATAACAATCCCCCTATATAATAGCAAAGGCACACTGACAGGTCCTCTTTATGGAGACATTAGGGGTCTCTAGGACCCCTAATATCACCTGTGGACCCCAAAAGAAGCTGATGAAGCAGAGATCTGCTTCATCAGCTTCTTCTCTCTGGCTATAGCAGCCAGATGACTGACAGGTGAATGCGGAAGTGATGTGAATGCGGACGCGAACGAGCACATATAGACGATCAGCGGGCTATGGAGCCGCTGATCGCCTATATGTGAAACACCCGGTAACGGGTGTGTGCAATGGTCGGGTCTATTCTGTCCGTGCGTGCCCGCTAGGGGGCGTGCGAGCAGAAAAAAAATGCCGTCTGGAGACGGCAACCCGCCAATGCTGCAGTGCCGTCCGTCCGTTTTTTTACAACGGGCAGACGGCAAGAGGTTAAACTGCATATGAAATAAATCATTCTATGTAAATATGTAAATATTCTATGTAAATATTTGTATGTAAATAATGTTAGATAACGGTAATTCTGTATATGGTAACTGTATTTTCTCTATATAATTTGTAACTATGTACATGTCTATACATGGGGCAGCCATATTTGTTCATAACATATGAAGGCATCACTTCCCGCTTATTTGTGTCGTTCACTGGTTGTGCCTTGCTGTTTCCCTCTACCAAAGCAAGTCTAACAGACAGGTTTGTCTGGCTAAAAACAACACACTTTTTAGGAACTCAACACAGAAAAGCATGCTAAAGGGAAAATGTCTTGTTGACAAAAGCAAGCTGGACTCAATGGTGGCCAAGATTTTTATCCAAGCATGGGCAGTATAGGCACTACCAGTTACAATTGCCATCCATTTAATCAGGTTCACTCATCTCTTTTCAATGTAGTGTATAGTAAGTGGGATATAGTCAATAACGGCAAAGAAAGAAAACCACACTTATACATCTTATAAATCTAATCCTAATGTTAATGATCTGTTTGTGCCATATCTGTTGTTCTTTTAATATGCCATTAACATATGTGCTGCACTCACATTAAAGTAAAACAATACATACTCACTTAAAGGTTCCCTGGCCTTGACTATGCCGACAGTGCTACCTTGTGGGGCATCCTCTGCAATTACAAACACGTAGCGTGATTTCTCAAATACTGCGGGTGCCAATGCAGTCTTCTGAATTTTAACAGTGACCGATGCATTCACCGAAGATGTACGACCGGCCTGATCGCGAGCACACACGAAGAAGGTCACTTGTGAATCTTCTAAATTATTGAGAGCAGAGATCAAATAGATAATTCCTAAATATATTAAAAAAAACACACATGGTTACATATTGTGCAGACAGCCCAACCTTCGCCAAATCAAACGCCAAACTGTATACCGCATATGCCTGTGCTAGGCCAATTATCTATCTGTCCTCTCAAATTTCAATACATGGTACATTTGTACATTAGTTCAATTAGTATATTTTTAGTACAATATACAGCATATAATACGTACACTTTATTTTTCATTTCTGCTAGATTATAGGTGAAGAGAGAGAGCACTTTCTGATAGAATGTGAGTTTTCCAGTTTAAATGAACCATTGTCCTAGCATATGCCAAACCCCACCTATCATGATAAAAACAAGGATAAGTCCCCTCCTACTACTTGATTATGCTAATGTGGAAGAAACTGTAATGCAATTGTATGCTATACTGATTGTGCATCATGTGCTATTTTATTGTTTTATTGTACTTTGGAAAATTAATAAAATACTTTGAAAGTTAAAAACAAGGATACGCTCGGCCTTCCAAGGCTTCGTTCGCATCTGTGCAATGGAACATCACACGTGCGTTGCAGCACATTTTTACATGCATTACTGTGCATTGGCTTGGGTAGACCATTCAGTTGAATGGGCTGCCTACCACACCCAAATTGCACAAGAGTAGTGCATGCTCCCTTTTTTAGATCGCATCGCACCACAATGCATGGTAATAAGTTGCCATGTGTTGTGGTGCGATACAACACATATGCAATGGCTAGGTGTATTGGGATGCCATTAAGAAATAATGGCACCGCAGAGCAGCAAACACTGTCACACGCAATCTCATGCAATGCGGGAACTCATACGGGAGGGTACGGGATCCCACACAGCATAGATGTGAGTGATGTAATATAAAAGCGCTCAGTCTTACATTTTGTGAGCATATATGGTCATAGAACACAGTGATAAACTCTGCATCCTTTGCAATCAATAGCTGTGCATACATTATACACAACTTATTCTGCACCCCCCAATTGTACCTCCATCCTTATTACAACTCATGCCCATCCTCTTTCTGTTTCTCCTTACTGTCAAGCTGTGTGTTGGCCTTAATAAGGTTTAATAACTGCCTACACCAACTGTATATATTTTTAAATCCTTTATTTCATAAAAATGCTAATTTGATGCAGGAAGACACAAAAGTAACAAATGTGGGCCAAGTATATTCAATATATAACAGATGCTCTATGTAGATCCCAGACAACGCCCTTATAATAGTTTGGGGTACACTGGTAATGTTTATGGAATTGTGTCAAGTATGAAATAACCTATTCAGTGCAAACCTTTTACTGCAAATTGGCTTTTACATGGGGGCTTCTTAGTCCCCTATGTGATATCAATAAAGTTAAGTTTAAAAAAAAAGTTTAAAAAAGGTACAAAAAATATGAAAGTCACATATAAAAAAAAGTCCCCCACCCCCACATACACACACAAACATGCGTCGGAGCGCCTACGTGTGCAATAATTCTAGGGCCATTAAGCATTGTTAACACTAAACTAATGAGCGGTAAAAGCTTTTAAAGCATCACCTGTGGCCAATTTTGGGTGTGGTAGTTTATTGCGATTTCACGGGCATGTACAATTTTAAAGCTTGACAAGTTCGGTATCTATTTACCCAACATGACCCCATCTTTAATATTTTACCAAAAATGTGGGTTTTAATAAATGTTTCATAACATAACGTAGGGAAAGCAGTTCTTTTTCAAAATCTTCAGTACTTTTTTGGTTAAATAGTAAAAAATAAAAAATAAACACCAGTGGTGATTAATACCACCAAAAGAAAACTCTATCTGTCCTTAAAAGATTGTACAAAATTAATTTCTGTACAGCGTTGCATGACTGAATAACTATCAGTCAAAATACTGCAGCGCTGAATGCTGAAAAATGGTCTGGACAGAAAGGGGGTGTAAACATCCCGGTCATCAAGTGTTAAAGAAATGTCTGAGCTAAAAATGGCACAAAATGAACTTTAACTGTCAGGACAAGTATGCAGATGACTTATACCAATGCAGTAATAGTTCAATTAACCTTTTAGCTATTGTTTAGCTATCTCTCCTTTGGGCCTAGTTCTAATATGCCAAGCCTTGTATATTGAGCCATAAAAGAAGGTGTGAATTCTCATTATAAGGATTTATAAGCAATTTTTAACTGGGTCAAATAAAATTACTACAAGATGCGCTTGTATAATTGTATTCAATTTGTTCATGTATTCAAGCAGCATTGGGATGCTGAATATAATTTCAGGTTTGTTGCCTGGGTCACTAAGAAGTCAAATTTCAATCAGACAGGAGGCAGATGGTCAAACATGGTTAGCAGTTTGTTACCTAACCTAACCTTAAAATCTAGTAGACAAATTATTTAAACATGTTTAAGGTGGAGTTTAACTGAGCAGGAT